TCAGAGGCTGAAAGACTGTCACTTCCCCAAAGTTGTTGTTTGCTGCCTTCAAGTAGTTTCTAATATATGGCAACCCCAAGGCGACCCAGTTTTCTTGCCAAGATTTGTTCAGAGATTTGCCACTGCCATCTTCTCAGGCTGAGAGCATGTGACTTGCCCAAGGTCACCCAATAGGTTTCATGGCTGAGTAGGGAATCAAACCCTGGTCTCCAGAATCATAGTCCAACACTCAAACCAGTATGCCATACCCAATGGGTTTCCATGGTTGGAAACCCATTCAAACCCTTGTCTCCCAGAGTCCTTGTCCAGCAATCAAACCACTACTTTTTGGATTACAACTTCCAGAATCCCTATTAGATGCGGGATTTAGGGAGTTGCAGTCCAAAAAAGTAGGCTTTTTGATTTCTGGTACCTCTGAGCAGTTGTAAAGAACAACAAGGCAAAAAGAACCAATAGAAGCTTGGGGAAAAGAGGCAAAGAAAAATGATGGGTGATAAGCTTACAAGAGAACCAGCAAGAGATGTAAGGTACCAAGCCCTATGTAAAGAGCCACTTGCCTGGTAACAAATAGTAGGTTAGGGACATCTTACAAAAATAGGTTACTGTTTGTTTGTTTGTTTGTTTGTTTGAATGTTGGGCCATAAAAAAGTGTGTTTCAGCTGAGGAGCTAGCCAGGATTCTTTCAGCCTGTAATTCTGGCAAACGACATGCAACATGCAAAGAAAACTGGGGAGAGAAGGGGCAATGAGGACACAGGCGGTAGCAAAGAAGGGAGAACTTTGTAAAATGAGGACTAGATGCTTATGCAGAGAATAAACAAAAACCAGAATGATCTCAAGGAGAGAGAGATGAGCCACAGTAACTGGGAACAGCACCCCAGAAGTAGTGTGTCTCCCATTATTCGGGGAAAACATCTAAGGGCAACAGATCTCCAAGAGGATTCTCTATGTAGCTGCCTAGCCAGAGAACTGGTTGCCTAGATGGACTTCAGTCTAAACCAGCAGCAAAATGTTGGTCATCTTTTTCTGACTGAGGGTCCATCCCACTACACAACTATCACATTATGATTCTGATCTGCCATGGCTACATCCTATAGAATCCTGGGATTTATAGTTTGATGAGACACTAGAGTTCACTGGCAAAGAATTACCCTACAAAACTACCCAAAAAAAAAATCTCCAGATTTCACGAGATGGAATAATGGGTTAAAGTGACATCAAAGTGCTATAACTGTGTACTTTGAAAGGACCCTGAATAGGGAAAAAGCTGCCATTTTATTTCTTGATGAGTGAATTGTAAAGCAAGGGAAGGAAAAGAAGCAATGAATTGTGGAAGATCATCACTCTTCAGGGAGAGAGGCACACACAAACGCAGGGCTGGCTGGCTCTCAAGCTCAAATCAAAGTGATTCCAGCCTGTTTTCATGGGCAGGGATTTTTGTACAAGTGGTAGCATCAGAGATGGCGGGGAGAGGAGGGGATTAAGGAAATCCTTGACACAATGGGGAACCATGATCTACATCTGGGGTGGTCCTGCAATTAGCAATGCACAACAATAAAGGGAGACTGGAGGGAAACGTGCCCTGGGATTTATTTTGTTCCCAGGCATGGCAGGCCTGTGCAAACATTTCAGCTCTCGAAGGCCTATGGGCCTTGTGTTTCTGTTTGGGAAGGGGAAAAAAGGACATATAATTATATCCTAAGGCTGAGTGCGACATAAAAGGAGGTTGTGTCTCCAGTGGTTGGAGTGGGAAGCTGGGAGCTAGGATGACTGGATCCTAATGAGCTGACAGCAAAAGATCTCAGAGGCAGAAGCCCTGGGTTGCACACACACCCTTGGACAAAGCTCCAGACATGCTGGCCACAGCTTTGGGTGGGGGAGGAAGGGGCGAATCTCTGTGCTGAGAAAGATGCATTTGAGCATCGTTTAGCTTCTACAAAGAGAGTGTGATTGGTTCTCAAGCCAGACAAAATTCATTTTTTAAATTTTTATTTTAATTACAGCATCCAGAATTCCTCAGCCAGCACCCATGCTGGCGAGGGGTTTCTGGGAGGTGTTTTCTCTCCAAAAGGAATGTTTCCAAGTTCTATTAGGGCTGCACATTTTGACTAGGAAAAAGCTCCAGCCACTTCCTAATTCAGGATGTGTTGGATCAGACTGCAGTTACTTTGTGATGTTTGCAAAGGCATCCTGCACAGGCTCAGAGGAACTCTACTTCTCTGCCTACTCAGCCTACACTGCAAATTAAAAAAAAAATTGCTTGTTGTACCCATTTCCCACCAGTGCACTTGCATATGCTTAGGACTTGCTAAGATAAAGGAGAAAATATAGCACAGCACAAACCACTCTCAAGAGCATTGGTTGTTCTTTTTATGGTGCTTATAGATTTTTCTAAGCCACTGTAAGAGGAGCTGTGGTGATGGAAAGGCTGAGTGCACATGCTTAAATTTTAAAACAGAAAGGAAAGAGGAGGATTTCCTTTCCTTTGACCCTCTAAATGTGTTGAACTGCAAACCCCAACATTCCCAGCCAATATGGCCATAACTTGGCCATGATGGTTTGAGATGATGCACATTGCAGTTATACACATATGGACGTCAACAGGTAGGTGGAAGGCTGACATAATTCTTAAGCATTGTGCCCCAATTTCTTTCCATCATCTGTTTCTGGAATTCAGGTGTGTTTCACTGAAAAGACTTTATGTTCTAGTCCTCTAGCATATTTAGTTAGTAACATGGTTGGGAAAGATTTCTGCTCATCACCTGGAAGAGTTGGATTTCAGATTTTCTACCAGCAATTTCAGTACAGGGCTAAACAATCCACTGATCTGAGTCAACCTATAAAACTGTTCTTTATAGCCACAGTGACTACAGTTGGAGTGCCCTGGCTGGGGTGGAGATTAGGTATAATTTTCCATAGGATTCAAGCTCGAAGAGAAGTGCTCTTAGTTAACTGACAGCAACCCCATAAGGAAAATAAAGTTGGTTAGTTATTTCAGTTTTCATCTTACATTCTCTATTACATAGTGCAGAGCCCCATGGATCTCAGGTTTATCACTGTCATTATAAGCTACTAAAAATCCCACAAGTTTCTAGTTCCCACGGTGCCTAAGAAGATGTTTAAAAAACAAGAACCAATGCCTGCTAAATGGTTAAAGGTTTTCGCATATAGTTCTGTCTCCTCTCATAGAACCATAGTCCTTGTCTTTGTATGCACAGACACCTGAAGTGCATCTGTATGGTAGTTTTGAAAGAGAATTGATACACATTTACTAAACATATGCAATTTTGCAGCAGAAAGGGGATTCAAGAGCATGCTGTTTGCTTTGGGGTCAACTGACACAGCTTTAAAGGCTAAAATACTTGCATGTTCCCTAAGCTATGAATTGAAAAGTGGGGAGATAAAATGCCTGCTTTGTTAAGGTGAGACTGGGTCTGTTTCTGACCTTATACTGAACCATGACTGGGGATAAGTTGTGCTTGATGCGCAGACAATTAAATGAAGGGCAGAAGGTTCAGCCTGAAGAAACTACTTTACAGAGCAAAGTGATGACTAGAATAATAATAATAATAATAATAATAATAATAATAATAATAAT